ATCCGCAGACCATTGCTTTTAAAGAAACTTCAATATATGAAAAAAAAAAGATTTTACAAAAAATTCTTGTTAACTTTGTTTGAAAAAATAAGTTGTGTTATATATTGTTATATTTTATTCATAAGCGTTATTTAAATGTTTATGTTGTATTATGCCCGTCACTACTGACACCAATCCTGTCACAACCATCCCTCGGATATGGACCGCTGCCAATGGCTCATCTTTTTTGTATGATTTGATTTTATGAGTAATCCATCATATTCATGGGCACTATTTTAGTATTTCCATGGTAACAAATTTTCAAATTACAATTTAATTTACTTTTTTCCCAGGAAACTGGTAAGTTAACAAAATTATGGCCGATCAAAAAAAAAGTGGCGCAACCGTTCCCAATCTTCTCTACCTATTTATGCCTCAACAATATAACTCCGCAATAGAATATTATTGTAACTTTTAAAATGGCACATATTTATGAGCCATGGATAATAGTCAGTTATCACCGGTCTCTCATGTTATGTAACCGAATAATTTGGTAGTCCCAAAACTGTCACAAAGCTAGCACCTTTGGTGTTAATTTGAGCGTTTTTTGAATTGTTGCTGAAAACTAACCTCCAAATATTATGCATGTTAACACGTGAAGGAAGTACAGACAAAATGACATACATGAACGAAATGACACAGCATTTTATCTAGTGATGTACCAACTTGAATGAAGTGATTCGAATCATTAGAATCAACCCATTAAAAACCTAATTCTAATCACATATTTATAAACCGGATACGAATCAACACGTATCATGCCGAGAAGCATATACTGTGATACAATATGTATAAACATATCTTATGAAATATAAATATAAAATAAAAAAAAATAAGTAAATTGTGCGATTCATTTAAGTTACTCGCATAATTTAAATTGAATTGAATCATTCTATTTACTTGCTTGCTTGCGAGCTATTCAACTTCTGCACAGATTATTGTTTTCTTTGCATTTGTTTATTACACAGAACCTCGAAAACGAATTTGTTTATGAAATAAAATAAAAAAATAACAATAGGCTTAAGATTCCAAATATTGTCTTAACATGCTTTAGTAATATAAAAGTTTTTAGTTATATAATATTGTAAATTAATTTGAAAATATATTTTTATTTTTACCATCTTTAGAATTAAATCATTTTTAATAATTTTTATAATATATTTTTTGATAGCAAATTATATTTTTAACAAAGATTTTGATCACATTAATTTACTAAATAAATACATCGATGATATTATATCTTAGCTTTTTTTTTGTTGCTTGATTCAAGTTGATTCGAATTATAACTCGTTTCAGTCGGAGCATTACTAATTTTATCCGAGATTTAGCCCCCTTATCTAATTATAAGCAGAATATTTAATACAATTATTAATCATTTCGAAATGTTGTAATTTTGTTTTCAAATTTAAAAATGATATACATCTCAATATTATATTACTAATTGAAAAAAATGATAGTTATTAGACTAGTGTTATTTGTATTAATATGGTATGGCCGTATATATAAATATGCATATCTTTTAACATTTGTTTGATTTATTTTTTCTGCGTAAAAAAAGTAATAAAAATGAATTTTATATCATTATTGTTTGAATCATGATAGCGTTCATAGCTACTAATACTTCCTAAATTTAAATTGGATTTTCGGCAGTACATGTTGTAATAGATAAATCTTCAAACAGCTATGAATTTCATTAATTAATTTGTTTTATTTTTTTACTGTATTTACAATAAATAACTGTAGTGTGATTAACTTACACTGTATTTATTGGTTGGTCATTCAACAAACATCCATGTTTTGTTTCCATTAATATAATTTGAATTTATTTTAAAATTAAATTTAAAAGTCAAATAACAATATATGAAGAATATTTAAGAATATAGCAATTTTATTTATGGTCAGTATAGAACTTTTGTTAATTAAAATTTTAAGTCGAATTGAGATTACCGTGAACTACTAAATGTAATTACAATTCACCGTAGATATATTTTAAACAAATAAAGGAAATTTTAATTGCTTCAAGGACTTGATTTTTATTTAATTAAATCCAGCTAACCAATGGCGTTAATTTAAAACCAGCATAAATAATATTCATATATGAACTTTTAATTTAAAATTTTCAAAGCATTAATTTTGTCACTTTTTTGTCCTAATATATTAACATTGGCAAAGTACAATTTTAAGGTCAGCACAGTAATTGAATTACCTAACAGAAATATCAGTTACGAAGCAATATTTCATGACAGTTTCAAATTTACATATTTTCCGTACTACATACAAATAATTTTCATGTACATTTAATTTATGATCCCAATGCGTAATTATATCATTTAAGCTCGGGAAATCGTTGAACATACATAGCAAATGTGGTGAATTTTGTTGGATATCAAATTCCATGATACATAAATATAAATATAATTGATGTTAAGCGAGACAAATTCAATTTGTATGTAACTGAGATTTTGTTAGATTTGAAACCAATAATTAAGTTTATTTCTCTGGAAATAATTAGTTGGCCGTGGAATGGGTTAGTAGTTTTAAATAGCTTATGCATAAATAGAATGTTAATATATTTTTTAATGCCTTATGAATATAATAACGTTTATTTTTGAAAATTGTATATATATATATATATATATATATATATATGTGTGTGTGTGTGTGTGTGTGTGTGTGTGTATATAACTGTATGTGTGTGCTTTTATTTCTATGGAAAAAACTATTGATTCCGATAGACAGAAAATGTTAACATAAATAAATTCAACATTCAATCAGGGCTCGCCCGTAGGTAAGAGGTTAAGAGCGACGGGACTTGTCTCAGAGGTCCCGGGTTCGATACCCACTTCGGGCAGCCTGTTATCAGGCAACATTGACAACGATTTTCACTTGGAAATATAGATAGCAATATGTTTCCAAGTGAAAATAGCCCTTACCCGGCATTGTTGCACCATACTTGCCCTATTACAAAGATTGTAATAAAAATTTATCATACAGAGATGTGACAACTGTTTGGGTTACCATCTGTAATAAAACAAACGTAGTTTGTAAGATCTTACTCACAACAGCTCATAGAACCTATAAGTTCTGATTGCTGTTCAAATAAAATTATAAAAAAAAAAAAAAACATTCAATCAAACAAATCATCACAACTGATTTTATATTGGAATATTTAACAGAAAATGAAATATTTTGAATTATTTATTTTATTTTAGAATACTTCTTTTATATACCATAATGAATACTAAATTTTATTTGATTATGGTTATGAATTATGTCATTATTTATCTATATAAGATATTTGAATAGGTAGTGGCATTTTTTTTGGATCAGGAATAATTTTGTTAATTAACTTGTTTACTGTGAGAAAAGTAAATTAAATGGTGATTTGAACATTTGCCTACAAGGAAATACTGTAATGCTGTACTTAAATTAGATAGATTAGTCAATTCATATAAAAAAAAGAGAGTTATTCAACCGTTCACATCCGCAGAAAGGTTGTGACAGGCGTAATATTACGTTAAGGGGTTTGTTCGTTTTTTTTCTACAAATGCAAGGTATTCGTTTTTGTTTTTCTAGAAGTGTATTTATCATAGAGACATGCGATTTTTCTAAACAAAAATTACAAAATCATAGAATATTACGATTTTTTTTCGCCGCATTTTTTAACCAGGGGGCGCCAAAGTCGGCCTTGCAAAATCGATCCCTTTTGCGGTGCCACAGATAAATCCGTATAGAGACTAGGTATTGCAGTGGTGAACAAATTAAAAAAAAATGCAAGTCGATCCGACATGTAGTTTTTTTTTTAATTTGTGGCACTGCATTGAAAAAAGTCTATTTGAGAAAAACGTATTTAAAATTTTTAATATAATGTACTAAATACAACCATTTAATTTAACCATGGTGTTCAAAGAATGCTGACACATTAAAAAGGTCACGTGCATGAGGTATTATAATGAAAAAGAGAGCAGCTGGCATACAATAGCTCGCGGAGGGATGAAAAAGCTGGTTTCAGAGGATCATACATATAGAGATTTATATACCTATAACTTTGTCAAATAGATATTGAGATGATTTTTTTTTAAATAATTCTAAGGTTTTTAGCTTTCATAATATCAAAAAATCTCAAAATCAAAAAAAATAAATAAAAACCAAACAACCCCCTAAACAACTATAGCTACATACACCAAATTACTTTATAACAAATTTTATTGTCAAAAATATGTAACACTTCACAATATAATCATTTGAACATAGCTTATGAATATAATATAACTACTATAATTTTTAAAAAATGTGAAATCTTTTGTTTTCTTGTATTGAATTTTCCTTTTCCTTTTTCTTTCGTATTTTGTCCTAGTCAAGTTTGACTTTTTTCACTTTAAATTTCACTCAAAAAGGACAAGAAATCACGTCACAACATATACATTTATGTAACATATAATTGTCACATTAAACAAAACTAATTGGTTGTTATTAAGTACTACTGCTAACTTACTATAATAATCTATCCCGTATACAAGTATCAGGTAATATTAACAGAAATCGAACAAAACACTTAATTTTAATGCAGGGCGCTGTCTCAATGCGATCATGGAAAGTTTTCCGAACAAAAACATATTTCATATTTATCCCTTTGGACCCTATCTCAAAATTAGTATTGTTCAGCTGTTATGACTGTGCTTTATAGTACCCTGGTACAACCGTACCCAGTCTTCGCTATATATAATTAAAAAAAATACACAAATAAATCTTAATTAGAAATAAAAAGCAATACTATAATAAATAAAATATGCAATGCGTATTAATATACATTTAATATAGTATTCCTAAAGTCAACAATTGCTTTTTAGTTAAAAGTAGTATGGTCTCAATTATCAAAAGCTGTGTATGCCACAGCAATATTTTATATCAGTAACATTATTTTATCTGTGGCTTTCGCTCATGCAATATTTCAAATTCAGGGCGTCGGATATAACTTTGATCTAAAGTTATCTTACAAGTTGTTGCGTAAGGATGACATACGACTTCGCAACGAAGGTGGAGCTTGGACCGGCGAATTGGTTCCGGGCACTTACTGTTCGAGAGAACTGCACGATTGCGACATAAGGTGAATATAAACTTTCATTTAAAATTGAATCATTTTATTTCGAATAACTATAGAAAAGTTTTAGTATAGAAGGCGCAGTGATTGCATATATTAACTGGAAAACTGTTGTGCTTGATAATAAACAATAAGTGTCTAGTATCTATACGTATATACAATTTATTATTAATATTTTTATTATTTTTCGATGAAATTTCTTACATATTATTTATTTAGTTCCAATTTTTATAGTTAACTTGATTGCCACTGAATGAAGGCTAAGATGCTAGCCGAAACGTATGAATTTTAAATAAATAAATTTCTAAAAACTCTCATACTATTTTTATTGATATGACACCCGACTTTTTAACTCAAATTAAATATATTATATGAACATCAAATTCAAGACTATTCAAATATATATATATATATATATATATATATATATATATAAATCTTCTGTACGTGTGTTGTCACTCAATTGCTTCTAAATTCCAAAATTTTGATAAACTATTTTAATATTTATGAACGAAAGTAAAATAGTGATAATGAACTAAAATAAATTATATTAATGAGATGAGATACATCAAAATATGAATTCACATAAATTTTGAACTTAAATGATGCTGTATGTTAAATTATGAGCAAGATAAATGTAATTTAAAAATTATTATTACTAAAATGCAACATAATATGACAGAAATGAAAAAACTAAATTTAACTAAGAAAACTCATTTACTTCGACAGTTGACAGTTCCAGAAATTTAAATTTACTTAAAATCAAATTAATAATTCTTAATTTTATTTACTTAAAATCAAATTAATAATTCTTAAAATTTAAATTTACTTAAAATCAAATTAATAATTCTTAATTTTATTTATATTGACACTCTTGAAAATTTAGACTTTGATCCATAAAAAAGTGTTGATTATTATATTTATTTTATATTTGCATGATATATAAAAATATGAATATATTGATCATTCTACACATAATAGTATAATGTAATGTCTTATATTCGTAATTATCTAATAATAATTAATTAATCATAACTTAAAATGATAATAATATAATTAATTATTATATTATTATATTTATTTTATTTCAGCCTAACGGCCTAGAAATACATCATTATACCAATAATACCTTAAACCTACTTTATATACAAAAAATAAAAATAAACAGAAAAGTCTAATCAGTGGTTTTTAATAACTATAACGTATAACGTTATAGTTATTAATTAATTATTATAATAGATATAATAGATAATTTATTATCTATTATTCTTAAAAAAAAATATTTGCCATTTTATATAATTTGAAAAAGTACTTTAAACAATACTTATAATGTCGAGGTAGTTATTAAATAATGCGAAAACCACATTAAGTTCTTTGCGTTTATTGCTTCATATATATTTTATTATATAAAAATAAGTCGGCTTTTCCTTCCTGACGATATAACTCCAGAACGCACGAACCGATTTCGACGAATTTGCATTCGTTGGAAAGATCTCGGACTCCGTGATGTTTATAGGAAAGAAAATTGAAGTAAGATTTCAACAGAAAAGCGGAAAACACTCTCTCTTTTTTCAAATACAACGTCATCTCTGATACATAGCATGTACTACAAACTAATATTTTTTGTTTGACTGTAACTCATTGTTCTCTGCTCAGTTAATTTCATGTGGCAAACCGGCATTGTGTTCACTGTGAAATTCGTTTTCTAACATTTCAATTGGAAACCTTCAAATCAATCTCGTGTATTGTGCAAATTTTTATTCAATTTAAACAGCAGACAATTTTTTTCTTCATCTTTTAATCACCAAACGAAATGTTACATAAAATGAAACCATCTGGTGGTGAAACGTAGTTCGCCCGGTTTGCTAGTTAATTAATAATAATGTAATAAATAAATATTTGTACAGATCTAATAGTTTTTTTTTTGTATTTCAATAATAGTTGATCAATATTTTAAAACTGATTACAAATTAAAATTTGTATAAATAAAATCTTTCAGAGACCAAATGAGCAACGATATAACGATAATAAAATGGAAAAATTGCTGGTGTTACAATGTAACTGTTAGTTCATGAATATTTTTTAGTTTTTATTTTTATAATTTATGAAGCTAAGTATTACGTAATATTCTTATTTTTTACATAATGCATAAAATAACTTGTATATATAGCACCAAAGACAAAGTTATGGCGCAGTTATAAAGTGCACTCAATTTATACGTTGAATATAAAATTACGTAAGATTTCCAGAAGATGATGGTTCAAGTTTTAAAATATTAGTACAGTTCTGAGATTATAATATTTGGATATATTCTTTAATATATTAATACCAAAATTTAATTAAGATATAATTTAGTACATTAATAAAAGCTGAACCACTGGGTTTTTCTTTGTAATTCTATGTTATTTGTCAAATTAATTACTCAATATCTTTCTATGTAGACAAATTGTAATTTATTAGAAAATAAAAAAAAACTTTAATATATTAGTTAAAACAATTTGTAAATAAAATTGAAAGAAATTTACAAGAAAGAACTTCGAATGGTTTTTTTTAATTTTTGGGATTTATATTCGTAAATTTACAATGATATGAACCCATACTATTTTTACAAAAATCCATATTGCCTAATAATAAAATCATGTATTGTAATATAGTTGACAACTATTTTCTAGAAAATATATAGAAACATGACAATGTTATATATTTTGAATGCGGATTGTGACAAATGTTTTAATGTGTGTACTAATTCATTATCAGGAGCAAATTTATTTTTGATAGCTTTCTATTAGGATAAAAATGTATCCATAAATAGATAGCTATATTTGATTCGATAAATTGATGATAAAATTTGAGACATATAAGGATAATGAGATAATATAATGAAGATCAGAGATTATTATAGTACTATCTACAGATCGTGCAGCATTTTTTATTAACTTTGCTCTTTTCTTTTGAGAACTAAAAATTTGTTATTTCTACTAACTTACTAAATTTCATCAAGTAATAATAAACCTCTAATAAAAATCTTATCTGTTCTGTGTTATTTCGAATTATATTAATTAAATGCGATACTTGAACATATGGAGCAAAATATATAATTTATTAATATCAATTTCCTGTGTATTTATAATATATGTATATATATATATATATATATATATATATATATTAGTGGCAATCAATTATAACTATAAAAATTAAAATTAAATAAATAGTATGTAATAAATTTTATAGAAAACTTTTATATCAAATTAAATATATATATATATATATATATATATATATATATATACTCGTATATATAAGTATCGTCAACAAGATTATAATAGCATTGCTTGTTATTACTACAATGTTTTCTGTATTGTGTATTTTCACATTGTTAATGAATATATATAACGAATGCAAGTACGGAAGTCATCTTAATGTAAATCCAGCCCATTTATTCACCTAATCAAGCAGTTATCTTAAAGTTCATTATATGTTAATTGAATTTTTTTTCATAATACACGCAGACCATGCCGCATAAGGTCGCCGAACTATCCGGGCGTTTACCCGCGCAACCTGACTTGCACGTACCGAGTGAGACAGCGCGCGCCGCCGCCCGGAGCGCACGCCATGCTCGCAGTACGACAGCCGGATGGTCATAAGCTGCATATCAAGGAACAGGCGCCGCACTATGAACGGGGGCAGAGATTGCTCAGGTTAGTAATAAAAGAAATTTCAATAGTTGTATTTATTTTGATTTTCTAGCATATGACTAATTGACCCAGCGGGTGCGGGCTAGTCCAACTAGTCCCGGGTTTTGATCGTTTGATCTCCGCCTCAGTCATGCCGAGACATCAGACAGCCGATGATTTAAAATTTTTACTTGAGATTATAGATCTGAAATGAAAATTTCTTCTTTTTGGCATAGCTGCATTTAAATACATGCTGATAACTATTAGATTTGATAGTCCAATAAATCTTGGTTACCTTCTCTGTTTGTGTGCGTGTGTGTGTATGTATTGATAACTGATTACGTTCGGAGGTATTAAATGCAACTTATTTCATTTCTACGTGAGATTAGGATATAAAATAATATTCAAAATTTAGTTTTCATACTAATACTGCAATTTATAGTCTGCTTATGGTTACGTGTATGTTATTATTGTTTTGCTTTGCAAATTCAACATGCTTATTACATTATATTTTTTGTCATTTTATAATTTTGTTGCATTTTGCGTATCCATATCATTTATCCATATTATATTAACACTTGTTATTTTCCATATTCATTTGCAATCTTTCAGTGAACTAGATTTTTCTTTCAAATGATTAATGTAGAATATACTATATATATGTACATATTCAAAATCACTGATAAAATGACAAATTTAAAGGTTGTCGAATTATAAGTATCTCAATTATTAACTTTCCGTAGGGTAAGTTATTGTAATGCGCCGATAATCGAAATTGAAAATTTTTACATTTCTCGATGCTTTGAAGGTTTTTGAACATTTTGGCATACCTCAGAAAAAATGGATGTGTGTGTGTGTATGTATGTATGGACACAAATTTCCAGTCAAGTTTTCGGGCGCACGGATCAACCGATTTGAATGGTTCAAAAATCATTCGATTCCTATTGATAGGGAGATGAGCTGATTAGTTTTTGGCAAAGGCAGATCCAGCCGTTGCGAAGATAAAGAGCAAAATGTGCAGAAAATAGAAATCGAGTTTTTAAGAGAACGGAGCATCCGATTTGAATGCTCTAAAAACATTCAATTAGTAATGATTGGGAGAAGTGTATATTAGTTTTTGGCAAAGGCAGATCCAGTCATTTCGAAGATACGGAGCTAAATGTGTAAAAAATGGCAGTTTTTGAGAGAACTAAGCGTCCGATTTAAATGATTCAAGGAACTTTCTGCTTGTCTCAGCAAAATATTTTGGTGAAAAAATTTTTTGTTTTAACTTTTTTTTTCAAAAAAAAAATTTTGTATTTTTTTTTATTTTTGTATTTTGTATATCGAAAATAATTCAGATATTATTTGTAATTCTGACTATAGTTCTAATATACTTTAAACAAATAATTTCAACTTTGCAATTCAGTTTATATAATTCTTATAAATATTAGACAATGTTACAATATTAATAATAATCTATTTGAAAACATTCAGTATTCCTCGAACATTTCGTTACGGTACGGGAAGTTCTAGCAATTTGTCTTAAGGCACGATGCCATACACCCCACTAGTTTATAACTATATTACCTTCAACATATTCTATAACTGATACTTCAAATTTTATATTTTTTCTATTTTATGCGTGTAGATTGTAATTTATTTTAACCAATGATATAGAAAAATATGTTTCTAAAAACTGTTTTTCGCTTTCTTTCAATCATTATAAATTTGTTCTGACAAAATAAAATTCATATCGATGCCAACATATTTTTGTATGTATATATATATATATATATATATATATATATATATATATATATATATATATACATTAATTGACATCGTCACTTAGACTTCGGTTGTGTCAAACATCATTTTTTGTAAATTCCGAATTATAACATATAAAACTAAATGTTTGTTTTTTAGTTCAAAATCATGGCTAATGTTAAAAATATCTAGATCTACTGTACCTTTTTTATTTGTAAAGACCAAACTAGGTCGTAACTATCTATAATTGAAAAATAGATTGTGAATAAATTTAGAGCAGAAATGTCTAAAATAGTAAGTGCAGAAAATAGTAAATACTTCATACATCATATGAAAGAATATGGTAATTGTGTATAGTTGTTTTTATTAGTTTTATAATTAATGGATTATAAATTAATTTTGTGAGCTAGTTCATATTTTCTAATTGTTTTCAGCACCTGTAGCATAGTAATAGCCTAATAATTTTATAATAATTCAATTTAAAATATTAACTATTCAAAAAATATTTTAACAAAGCATGTCTTAATTAGCCAAGTTGACTACAATTTCCTTCAACGCCTGTTGCAATATTATTTACACACGATGCACTTCGCAGATTTATTTTAACGCTATACGACAAATTTCATTAAGCAAACAATTTGCTTAAGACCCAATGAATCTTTGCAGACTATGTACAAAATTACTTTATAATTCTGAATCAACATAATGATGAGTAGTTGGAAAACTAACGTAAAAGCATATCTGCCTGCACAAGATCTTATATTCAATATAATACTACTGAGTAACTTATACTGCTGTTTCCATTATAGAAAGTTGAGCGCATTATACATATCGCAGCGTATGGGGTAACTAAGTTATATAAAAGTTTCGCATAATGTGCATATGTGTTGCAGGCAAAGAATGAGTGTACGAGTATATGCAGCATTTCCATTGTAATTTTATCCTGGCACTACCGAAACTTATTGAATTACAATTTGTATCAAACTGAGAAAATACTAAAATTTGAAAAAGAAACGATTTTACCTGAATTATTATAAAAATAATTATATATTAGATAGATCTTATGGGGATGATTTTTTTATGCTTATAAGTTTCTAGAAGTGGTTCAGTGTTCCAATGTTTTAAACTAGAGTGGAGCTGCTAAGTTATGAATATAATTATATATAAGTAATTCAATCCATAATCAATTATAATTTATCCAAATACAAAACTAACAATATGTCTTAATATTGACTGTGATTTTTAGAAAAGATTCAAAATTATAAAATTTGTCTTATTATCTAGAATAGTACGCAATTCTAGATAATAAGACGAATTTTAACGTCATACTTGTCCTTTACAAAATTGTATAAATTATTAATCATTATAAAATACATGTAAATTTGAAATATGATTGAGTTTTGGAAAATATAAATAATTTAATAACGATTCAAAATACGATTTATATGACAATTTTGGTTTATCCAAAAATAGTATTTTATTTCTTTAATAAATCAATTTTTAAAATATTGGTATGTGACCATATATAAGACAAAAGTATAATTCTCAAGAATTTTGATATGATATGAATTACTCTTAAAAAATTAAATAAAATTTCTCTAATTATTAATTGATATATCAAACAAAAATATGTGAAATTGCAGGGAAAAAAGGACTAAATTAAACAGGTTTAGTAACGTTTCCGCGAACGTTACGAAGCCATAATGTCAGATGTTGAGCATTATTGTCATAGTCTCGGTACATAATCAGTTCAAACGTGTATCACGTTTTGAAAAGTTTATTTTGAGGATGGTTTTCTCATATTTTCTGCAGACTTATTTTTTGTTATTTGTAAGTTTTTCTAATAAAATCAATTAACTTATACAATTATTAATTTTTGTTAACTTTCGGATGAAATGATATACTTACACAATAGACAAAATGAGATAGTACTCTTTCGTAAGCACTTCAGGATAGTTCATTCGAGGCCACGGAAAAAAAATTACAACCTATCGAATGTGATGGACTATTAACTACTTCTAACTTGTTTTGAGATATATCACATCATATCAGTTTCTATCAAAATATAAAATAAATTTAAGGAACCTGGAAGATATTACGATTCACCAGTTAGTTAAGCTTAAATTAGGTAAGAATCTCGGAATTTGAGATACCCAGCTGTACATATGGTATGGTGTAAGCAACATATGTAGGTTTTGAGACAACTTTTAGGTATCAATATACAAGTATTTACAGACTTACAGCTGGGTATCTGGAATTCCGAGGTGAACTTACTATACTTTTCTTCAATTCAATTTCGAAAATTTTATGTGCATGATGTAGATATAAATTCAAATTTTGTCAATTTAATTTTTGCATATTCCAACTAGTTATAAAAAAATGTTATCTTAAAGAGCATCAATACATACATATTTGCATATATAGTTCAATTTACTAGTTACAATAATTCGCATTAACCATGGAAAACTAATTTAGTTAAAAACACATTCCTAAGAGAAAAGGTTTTTCAAACATACTATTATTTCGATTTACGTAAGAATCCTAAACAATAGTTTGCGGAACGACTTTAAATATCTCCTTGATACCAATCATTTTCTTTATAATGTGCCTACTTATTAGAAATCATAAGGTATTTGTTAGAAGTATAAATACACATACACATGCTCCTTGGTTTGTTACCAATAAAAATTTACATGATTATCTTAATATAGAATTTATAGACAGAATGATAAAACTGTTCAATATTTTCTAAAACTCGAAGATCATTCAAATTCCATAGTCACTCAAATTTTTGAGATACTAGTTTCGAAAAAAATGAAAAAGATGTTTCGCAAAGACAATATTCAAGACCATTAACATTACCACATCTTTGAGGACATTAACAGAAATAGTTAATTGCTCATTGAAGTGACAACTATTAATATATTGTATTAAAACCTATCACAATAATTTTATACGAGCGTTTTAAGTTGTGAGTGAACTAAATAGCTCATATATTACTTATTGATTGCTATCAAAAATATAATAAAGCATTAAAAAAACTACGAGTGCCTCTAAAATCAGATCAAAATATTCAAAGAAGGTAAAAAAAGAAAAATGCATTTGTTGCAAAACTCTCTTTTACCGAAGTATGGTTTGTTTCCTTTGGGTTCATATACTAAAGAAGGACCACAAGATTTATTTGTGAACTATCTTCTTAACAATTAATATTTTACTATGTCGTTATCTTATATGTCATTTTATTCGTACTTTATAGACAAACTCAACAACAAAAT